CGGCAGCTGGAATGGGTCACAGAAAACCATCAATGGCGGACTTAGTCAGTGGAAACACTTTCCCAAGTGCCTGCGATTTATCGTGTGCGCGCGAGTGTGAACGCACAAGCACTTGTGGAAAAGCTCAAGGCTTGATTGGAAAGGCCACTCGCACCCAAAGAAAATGAAAGTCAATTTGAGAGCAAAACGTGGCTGCCACTTTCTTCGAAGTAGCTTGTCAGATCAAGATCGGTGACCAAGAGTGCCCCATTTGCCCAATGCGGTCACTTTATGCCAGCTGAATACGATGATTTTATATCAAATTCAACGAACGGCGTGTACTCTCCGAACGGAGCCTCGATCAGATGAGCATCATCAAAAGCCACGGGCACTTTATCTTCAGTGGAGCCCGTTGTTGTTCCGCAGTGGCCTGTTGTTCCGCCGCCCTTTGTGGAGACGACCCCGGATTCATTGAAACTCTCCACTGCCGAGTGAGCCGGAGGAGCTGCTTTTCGTCACGCAGCCGCAGAACGCGGGCACGGCAGCACGCCACAAAGGCTGAGGCTCCGCCAGCATTTCGTGGGATAATCTACCTTCCTGGAGGTTCGCCGCTGCACCCGCCCTTTTCTCTCTCTCTCTCTCTCCCACTGGCAACAACCGCTTCTTCTCTCGCCCGCCTCTTTCTTATCTGCCCCGTGGAAGCAGGACGGGGTTTCCTGCCAAATTTTGGAAGCGGCGAGCAGCCTTCCCAAACAACAACATGCATGAAGACATTCCGACACTGAGGAGGGGGGAAGGTGTCCTCAACTGCCCCCCCCCGCATCGTTTCCAATCCTTAGACCCTCAAACATGCGCGAGCACAGACTGCAGCCATTGAGCGCAGCTATGGACATGGAAATGAGGATGGCCGTGTATGTGCGAGGGACGGAGAAAGACTTCAAGTGTGCATGACTATGGATAAGAGAAAGCTCGCAGGATGTTTGTGTGTGTGTGTGTGTGTGTGTGTGCAAATGAGCATGAGAGGGCGTTTAGCTAAACCCCCCCCCCCCCCTCGCGCCGCCGAAAAGGGATTTTAAAGATTAAATCTTATCCCACCGCCGTATATGAACAAAAATCATCCCGCTGGATTTCTTTGATTTTGGTGGCGGGAATCCCACTCAGGAACGAAAGCCTCCTATTAGCAACACCACCCTTTTGCACAATTAGAAATTCACGAAAAGCTTAACGAAAAACAACACTCTGAAGCCCCGGCAGCAGCTCTAGGGATGACAACACTTGGTCGCTCAAGTGCGGGAGCACATCTGGATGCTTCTACGATAAAGAAAAAACACGACGCTCTGAGATGCAGACTCACTGTGGGGCAGTATTCGGTGAAAGGTCAAGTAGGTCTCATTTAGAACTAACAGCCGCTTGGGTGTTCTCCTAATGACAAAGGCGGTTCAACTGTGACGGGGGAGAAAAAAAAATGGTATAATGAGTCGGAAAATGAAAACCACACCGCAGGAGAAGATTTCTTCAGCAGAAACAAACATTTAGAGGGATAAGTGATCACTTGAGTAGGGCTTAAATAATTTAGACTGTTATTTCAAGTCTCGGAGATTTCTCCGCTCCAGCGAGCGCTCCATCAATAGTGGCATGTTATGAGGAAAGTCTGCGTGAGATGATTAATCACGTTCCTCCGCGGCGCGTATGGATCGATGCCAGAGACGGAGGATGCTTCCTTCTCCTCTGCTCTCCCGCTGCCTTTTTAGCAGCCAGTTCTCCCACCTCTCGTCAATTTCTCGAGAAAGAAAGATGCAAATGTTGTCAGGTGGCTGGCCGTGTTTACTTTTGGAGTCGAGGATGTGCTCCGTAACGTTCGCCCACATGCATGATTCAGTGGCAGAAAATAGTCAGCGGCGACCCTCGGGTAAAAGGGCGCGAGCGTGTCGCCCATTTCCATGGCGATGTAGCCCTCGAAACAAAAGAGCACTCGAGATCAAGCAGGATTCCGATTTTATTTTTTGTGTAATTGCCACGTTTCCCGGTGAAGACTGCACTTGTGTTTTTACTGCGAAAGCTCCGAAGGCGGACTTGGTGTCGAAGCCAATAAAATCTGTTCCAGAGTCATGAACTGACTGCACCATACTTCCGCTGGGCTGTCCGGTTCGGTACGCGACACGCATGCCATTTGGAGTAATATTGCACTGAGGCAAAAGGAAAAACAAATATGATCTGCTCCTTAAATTGAATGCTGCATCGGGATTGCTCTCAAACGTTATGTACGGTACCTGAGATGTCACCAACCTTGCCAGAGGACCTCGCCTTTAATCTTTCAGACACGTCCCCCTGCAGCACAATGTGAAACCAGCTGCTTGGTCGCAAACTCTTTTGCACGTTTTCCCCAAGAACCCTAAAAAGCCAGCTCAAAAATGTGGCGACTTTGCCTCCACATAAAGCCTCAGTCTTCATTTGAATCATAATATAACATAATAATACTGACGTTATGACCCGACGTGCGCCGTTAGCATCATCGCTACTTGCAAATGTGACTGATCAAAAAGACGACGCGATTGATTGCTGCTTTCATCCGGCGGCTGCCGGCTAGTTAGTAGCGACTAAGCCGCTAATGTTTCCGCGGGCGGGCTGCGCAAACACCGCTCGCATTTTTTCGTGCTTTCCACTTGACCACTCGGGTGTTGCTTGTTCAAATGATTCAACGGTTTTCTTATCTTGCCTGTCTTTTTTGACGACATACGAGGCACAACAACTTCCTCCTCCGCATCTCGAGAAGGGGTACTTCTCATCTTCGGAAGTCATGGCTGCCCATCAGCTGCGCGTTTCGCTCTAAGTTTGTTCCGATTCCTTTCTGTTTACTGCTTCTTTCATTTCTTGACAGGTTCTGTTGACTTCAACTTGCAAACCCAACGTTAGAAGGGGGACTCCGATTAGCTTGAGTCGCGCACATTCCCGCCACGGCCGATGGAGTCAATTTGCTCACAGCTCGCAGGGCTGTCTCGGTGCGGCCCGGTCTCAAATGGGCCGAGGCCCGGTACTGGTCCGCGGACCGGTGGTTGGGAACCCCTGCTTTAGACAATTGGGAACGGACTAGCGCGTTTTTCAAATCTCCAATCAGAAGCTTTGAAGCGTACCGGCACACAAGTTTTGAGACGTGACTTGTGACTGTGATGGCATCGAGCCGAGCCGAATAAAATGAGGCTTTTACATGTCACGGTGCTCTTTCAATGAACACCACTGAGCAACCGTTCTGGAGTAGAGAACGGATCAAAGGCATTTCAGCAGCTGCCACAAACACATATTAAGTCAGCACTAGGACCATCACTAATTTGTTTTCTCCATCTCAAATATTCTTTTAGCTCCCCTTTGAGCCCACAGGCATCAGATTTGTCAACTTGAATGCTTGGCTTTTTTTTTTTCGGAACAGATTTGTGGCACCACATGCACTTCCTTTCTCCACAATAATAATAATAATTTAAAAAAGCCCTCTTTTTTTTTTTTGGAACTGTCTGCAAAAAGTGAAAGAACCCTACTAACGTGTTTGCTTATTTAGGGATGCTCATAATCCCCTCAGCTATTGTCAGCACTATCCTAAAATATCTTGTAACATTTTGTACCGATGAATGAATCAACAGTATAATCTCTTTGGAAATCCTGCAAAATGTTTAAAAAAAAAAACAACAACAACACTTGGAAGAATTAATTACAGAAGCCATAAGACAAGCTGCTTTTGCTGAATTGCAGTTTCCAGTTGGCCATCATGATGAATCCCAATTAGCACATTGTGCACTGAGATAAGCGGCAGTAATCACTGGGTGGAGGGCCGACTTACTTACTTACTTATAAACCGAAAAGGGGATGCACAATGGGACCCGGCGTCGTGGCGAGCGGCTAATGAGCAGACATGATTCACGCGAGCGTTCCCCCACAGAGAGCCTCGACTTGCACGGGCAGAGTGAAGCGACACATTCCATGAGGCTGCCTGGCGGAGCCGCAAGTGCGAAGAAGTGATTAAAAATGTCTCTTTTGCAGAAGATGGATGAAAGAAAGTCTGAAAAGGCTAACGGCGGAGTTGACCCAATCAAGAGTCGAGTGTAAACATTTTCATCGGTGTGGACGTGGCGGGAAATGTCAGGCTTTATACAACATTGGGTGAAGCTTGCTCAGTAAAACTGAAACGTCTTGGCAGGGGGTGAACTTGCTGGTAACGAGGACTTCAAACTCCAAACTTTTCACACCGCACATGTGATGTGATAATTACACTCCCCAGGTAGTCATTAATGCATCGTGTATAATTGTCTGTGGTGACAACTGCTCAAAACAGGCCATGTGCGGACGGGGAGGTCAGAATTTCACTCTGCACGTTGCAATTTTTTTGTTTTTCACTAGAGTTCGGTCCCCGTGTGCTTTTAACAAACCAAACAAGTAAAAATGTTCATAAAAATTGAACATGTTCAATTTTTTTAACGAACCGTTCACACTTTCAATTGACTTTTACTGTACCTGTAACAATGTCAAATTCAACATTCTTATTCGTATCCTGCAATGCAACTTGAATTTTCGTTTAAAATGGCCTGAACCTTATTTATGATCATTATTACTATCTTATAGTCAAGTCTGATCGTATACTATACCACACTTGACATATTTACAAAGATGATTAGTGGGAAAAGGAATCGTATTGCCTGTAAGAACTTGTACATTTTTCTATCATCTTGTACACTATGCTAAGAGCGTATGCAAAGTTCAAAGAACGTTTGATTAAGTGATGATGAATGAGATGAAAGGGCAGCAATGGAAAAGTTTTCACTTCTTCCTTCTCCCTCTGAACATGCACTGTATGTATAAGCGGGTAAATTGGGTTTTGACACCCTCAAAAATGCCATCTTTGTCAACTTTGCTCCGATAATGCAGGGTTCTAGCCTTTGATGTGCGGGGTGAGCTAAGGTGAAGACTGTCAAATATGCCAGCGGTAGTTGTGAGCTGGGAAATCTCCATCCCGACTTTTAAAGCTCCTCGCGCCGCGATTGGACGAGAGCGATCACGTGGCGCAGTGCAGTCAGTCTCTGTGCCGTGCCTGGAGCCAGCGCTGAGTGGAGCCTGTCTGCCAGCAGCTTCAGCAGCGGCTCGATCTGGAACCCCAGCACACTCACTGACAATTCAACGACCCCCCCTTTTTTTCCTTCTTATTTGCCGAGGATTATTGTTCACCATGGGCGACAAAAAGAGCCCTACCAGGTAATGCGATCGTCCGGCGACCAATCTGCGCTCGCTCGAGGCGTCGCGGGCTCGATCTTTGGACGCGTTTCCTTCACTCGGGGATCGTTGCTGCCTTTTTCAATCGCCGTGCCACAGCTAGCTAGAATCGTGCAGTCACTATGGCGGCTTCTCGCGCCCGACAAGCCAGTCCCTTAACAAAGGGATTTTTGCACGGGCTGCGCCTGGCATTCTCTGAAAGGCTCTTCCGTCTCGAGGCAGCGCGCTGGGCCGCCCGATGTCGAATTGGACATTGTTTAGTATCGCGCGACACGTTAAGCTTCGATGCCGAAAACGACGAGCGCTGCCTGCTAGGCTAACTGGCGAGATCCAATCGGACGGCGTTTCGCAGTCGTCCGCTCGTCGGCAATTAGGAGATTACCGACGAGGTCCACTTGGTGGGACGCGAAGCCAAAAATTCGGGCACGAAGCCCCCGACCCTCTTGGCGCCGTCCCTTGAAACGTCTGGTCTTGTCGCCCCTGGTTCGCCCGGAATCGCCGCTTCGTGGTCATTTCGGAAATGTGTCAATAACGGGCTTGCGCGTCTCAACTCACTGGAACGCGCGCGCTTGTGTGTGTTTGTGTCTTGTTTGTCAGGCCAAAAAGACAAGCCAAGCAAGCTGACGACGGCTACTGGGACTGTAGCGTCTGCACCTTTCGGAACACAGCCGAAGCTTTTAAATGCAGCATCTGCGATGTGAGGAAGGGCACATCAACAAGGTATCGTAGCGCTCGCTCGCTCGCTCTCTCTCTTTTTCTCCCCCCCCCCCAGGCTTTTAAATGCAGCATCTGCGATGTGAGGAAAGGCACATCAACAAGGTATCGTAGCGCTCGCTCTCTCCCCCCCCCCCCTCTCCTCTGGAAGCAAGCACCCGTAGTGCGTCGATATTGGAGAAACAGCAGCGGAGTGGAGAAAAGGTGAAAGGTGTGTGCGCCAGTCTGCTTGGTTCCATACTCGTTTGGATTTGCTGATTAATTGTGGCTGGTTGGAAGTTGCTCGGATGGAGAAACAGCAGCCCAGTGGGGAAAAGGTGAAAGGTGTGTGCGCCAGTCTGCTCGGTTCCATACTCGTTTGGATTTGCTGATTAATTGTGCGCGGCATGCTTGTGCAGCGTTCAATGAAGGGACATTGAAGAGTTGGACATCAGTGTGTGTGTGTGTGTGTGTGTGTGTGTGTGTGTGTCATTTGGTGGCCAGCACAACGTGATGGTTGTTTTCCATGTCTGCTTCCGAATGTACTCCAGTTCCTTTATTCCGTTGAGGTTATCGCAATGTATGTACCAGCCGGGTTTACATGGAGCCTTTTTTTTGGCAATCATTCCGAATGACGATTTCCTGGTCACCCGTTTACTTGTAATGTGATTTTTCCATCCGTCAGATCAGCACAGTCGCTGTGATAGCGTTAACACTTTTTCTTCAAGCGACGTCTTGATAAAAACAAGTTGCAAGTACTTTAAAAGTTCTCCTGTCGCGGACGAGTTCTGGTATGACGGTGCCATTTTAACCTGTGTATACAATGACTCCATATTGACATCAAAATGGAGAATGAGCTGGGCAGGCGCCTAAGTTGCAAGTACTTTAAAACAAGTTCTCCTGTCGCGGATGAGTTCTAGTAAGACGGTGCCATTTTAACCTGTGTGTACAATGACTCCAGGTTGACATCAAAATGGAGAATGAGCAGGGCAGGCGCCTGTGAATCCCAATGTAATTCCATTCCGATTCAGCCTTTTTTATTCTGACGGGGTTGCTTCATTCTAATCGGAATCCCCGGCCCCATGTCAACTTGGTATGTCGAGCGCGCTTGTCTTCAGTGAGAAGAAATGTTGTGGTGACATTTCTCAGAAGACACTGAGATGAAATCACCGAATCACATCTGATGGTGGGATTCCCTTCAGGTTCTGAATAACGACGCCCCCGCTTTCCTGGCAGCGAGTGTTTTCGATGACAAATAAGTGTGCGGCACAACTTTTGTTTGCGCTCGTCATCGGTTGCGCGCTGAGACTGAAACACGGATGAGTCATTTGTGGTTTTCAGATGAGCCCTTTGGCTTCTAACCTTGCCACTTGTGGGTTTACATCGAGCGCTGGGGAGAGCGTACCTCTGCCGTTTGACTGAGAATCCTGAGCGCTGGGGCCCGTCAGGGCCGGGGGAGAGCGTACCTCTGCCGTTTGACTGAGAATCCGAAAGGTGGACTTCCAGCATTATGGTCTGCCTCCCCCTCCCCCACGTCCTTTTTCTCCCCCGGCAGCGTGCTTCGGAGCACCGCGGCTGATGATGCATGCCGAGCACGCTCCGCATAAAAGCAGGAAACAGATCGCCGTGTCCTAGCCGCCCCGCCGTGGCGCTTTGGCAAAAGTCCGCTCCTTTCTATTTGGCCGGTGACATCACCGCGGTGCTTGTCATGTCGATCTGTTTGATCTGAGAGCAAAACCCTTTGATTTGTGCATTTGTTACGTTGTTGGCTGGCCTTTCATTTTAATGAGTACCAGTGCTTCCCACTGAATTCAATTACGGAGGATTGGCGGAGGCATTTCGCTGTCATGTCACGGAACAACTGTCTCATGTTGCTTGGTGTTTTAAACGGTGACGCGCTTCTGCTCTGTGAAGGACACGCTCATCCGAAGCTGCCTTGAGCAAAGTTGTTTGGCGTTCCTACGATTGGATCAGGCTGGGACAACGCTGATTTCAGAGAAGAACTTTGTCCGCCTGTTCCTCTGTCGGTCCTGCCTTGCGTCAGCTACCTTCATTTTGTAGTTCATTAACAATGCGACGTCAACACTGAAGGTGATGGCGGCGGTTTGCGGTTCCCCTCGCGGATCAGCTCCCACTTTTGTGTTCTTCTGGTCTGCTTGGCGTTTCTACGATTTGATCAGACTGGGACAACGCTGATTTCAGAGAAGAACTTTGTCCACCTATTCCTCTGTCGGTCCTGCCTTGCGTCAGCGGATCAGCTCCCACTTTTGTGTTCTTCTGGTCTGGGATGGGACTGAGTGAATCGATGCGCGTTTGATTCTCGGTCTCCACTTGCAGTTCTTAGCGCGGAATGAAAATGGGGAACCAAGTGAGAATGCGAGCTCCCAATAGGCGAGAGGAGGCCATCATTCCCTTGAAGAGGTAAAAATGAAACTTAACGAGCATTTTGAAACGCGGACAAGATATTTGTAGAGTTGCCAGTTGTGGGCAAAGCGGGGCCGTCTGCCGGAGCAAAGTCGGCACAACCGAGGAACGAAGTAGCGTCCCTTACCTTGATGCGCTTCAGCGAGAGATCTGACTAAAATCAACATAGTCCGCATTTAGACTGAAGAATGCTGCGTGTGGATCTTCATTTTGCTCATTTTATTCCAGAGCTGACTTGCGGCGGGCTCTTGGGCTTTGTGCTCACCATTGAATGCGTCACTGTTGACAAGAGTCACAATATTTGGTGCAAGTTATTTGCTTGACAAGACTGTACATCCAAAGTCTTTTGCCAGCTTTCTGTTGTTTTAAATTCACATATCAACTAAGTATACCAAAAAAAAAATTTAAAAGATTGTATCTGTTTGCAGGATCCAGCATGTTTCCATCTTAGGGCCAAAATAGTGCAAATTTGTGAGAATGTGACTTGAATCGGCTCTTTCTGCCCGCTTTTTTTTTTTACGTAGAAACGAAGACAGAGCAGTTAAATATTCAGCAACGGCAAACTACACATCGGACAGATCCACTAATTTAGTCGGCTAATGGCGGACGCACGACTTAGCTGACTCGTAATGGCAGCTGTCGTATCGTCCGAGTGAGTATCCTGTCTTCTACTGACATCAGCTGTCGGCGCCGACATCAATACGAAACCATCCCCAAATCACGTTCCATCGTTAGTTTCATCCACAAGGCTATCGCTAATTCATCAAAATACGCTGTCATCGGTTAAAATTGTATCCTCCGGTGCCAGCTCACGTTAGCGAGTCGCGGCAAGCTGGGCGGCCATTTGCGCCCGGCCAGCGAGCCGTCGCTAGCGGCAAGTTCCCGCTCGGCTTGCGACAGTCGCAGAGGCGCAATGCTTTTGATGCTGACAGTCTGACACTGTTGCAGTTCCCACAGATCAATTAAGAAGAAAAAAAAAAAAAAAGGGCTTACGCAAGTAGAGAAAGAAAAGCAGTTGTTGAAACATCGCTTCTGGTTTGCGGCTGTTGACCATTTCGCTAAGCGTTGCAGCCCTTGTCAGTTGATAAATTATTCCATTTCATTCTTCTTCCACGATCGCAGTATTAATCGCAGTGCTGGCCCATATGATGTGTTCTTCAGAGGAGTGGGGGGGGGGGGGATCTGGTTTATTTCCGTTCCCCTTGAAGGCACGTTGTATTATGTTACGGTCTCCAGAGCTTGCACTCTACCGAGCTTTCAGAGAAGCATCTGTTGGATTTGCGGTCGCTCATCGTTGTGAGTGAATTGGACGGTCGATCCTCACGCATGAAATTTGGAGCGGCTCGACAGAACCTTGTTCAATGATCAGTATGTGTTTCTAAATGGCAGCCGTTTGAAGCGTTGCCACACCAGAAAATTGAAGACGGAAGCGGTCAGCAGACTTTTCACTCAAAGCGGAATCACCCGATACTTTGTCAAGTCGGGCAGAGTCGGTAACCCGGTTTTTGACAGCGTTGTGACAGTTGAATTCATGTTCGATAAACCGAACAACTGCGCGACTCGATCGTCATTGCGGACGTTGCTAGAATGAGTCCGTGGACGTTAAGGCAGAGGAGAGACACTGTGTACGATTCATGATGATGGACAGGTAAAAGCTCGCCCCGCGTCAAAGTTTGAACTTGGAAAACCCGCCGCGGGCGGGCCCGGCCCCAGGTAACCGTCAGGTCGCCGTTTTCATTTGTCTTCGCGGAGCCAAAGAATGTGCGTTAACAAGGGCAAACTCCGGCGCTGACATTAGCATCTGGGGACAGTTCCTCCCCCATCAGAGTGCAGCCTAACGAACCTGTTGACCCGGTCCTGCGCGGTGATGTAACTCGATACCCGGGGAGGCTAAATCGAGCCTCTACCTCTGTGACTGTGAAACAAGACAGCCGTCTGTCTGCCTTTTGCACCTGACCCCAATGCCCGTTCGCCGCTCGATTCTTTGCGAGATGTTGGCGCTCGCCAACCTTTCTGCCGTCGGAAGCCCAGTTGCGCAGAGTTGTGCGCTTTGGACTGGAGTTTGCTTTGCGCTGATGTTTGCTCTGCTCTTCTGGGAGCCCCCCCCCTCCCCCCCACCCCCGGGGGGCCCCGGGAGAAAACATTAAGAGCCCTCTAAAGTTGATAGATGGGAGCCATCGCGTGAACTCTTAAGGTACCTCGGTCGGCGACTGCTGCCGTGCCGCCGTCTCCCTTTTTCGCCCATTTTCAAATTGCTTCCATCCAAATGAAATACTTTGGGTGTGATCTCAAAGCAGGGCTCCGTCGACAAGGGTCCAAGCGGCGCCGCCTTCATTGCTGCCGACGAAAGACAAATGGAATTCACAGAAGCCACACTTTAGTTTTTTTGTCATGATTCCGAAGCCGTTGCGGTGCATCGCGCTCTCCGTGTGCTTGTGAATCACATTCGGCCGCAGGTGTCAAACTCAAGGCCCACGGGCCAGATTTGGCCCGCCACATTTTTTTGGGTGTGGCCCGCGAAAACAAAACCAAACATGTTCAACTTGCACGACGCTTGCTAAAATCTGCACCAAAAGAGAGAGACTGTGAACATTTTCTTGTTG